ACTACTACTGCTACTACTACTATGACCAACTGTTGCCACGACGCGTTTCCAGACAGCCTCGTAGAGTAAATGCAGCGCCAGCTCCCATTGTCCACCTGGCGGCTTTGCAAGTGAAAGGTGAAAGGACCTAAAGGCCTCAGGAGGGCTCACCTCATTCTCGGGGTATATCGTGGTACCTCTCGTAACAGCAATTCTCGTCGGCAGTTGATAGAGGCTTCCTATAGAGTGACCCACAGCAAGCAGCCAAGGGCACCTTTATCGCAGGCGCTGATGGCTGCGTTGTAGCTNNATGATGCCCAGCTGCATTCCTCGGACGGTCATCATGCTTTGCAAACCTAGACTACTAGGCCGGAGGCCTCAATGATGTAGGAGCTTTTGCTGTCATTTGCAGAGCAACAAATGAGCACATGTGCAACACGTCCACGAGCGACTTTGTTGGAAGCTGCGTAAAGGTGTCTTCGCTGCACCCGGTAGTCACCGACAAACTAGCTCCCAAGTTGATGCAGGACAAGGCAAAAGGCTCTCGAATTTCGAGCACGGTAGCCCTACAGTACGTATATCAGCGCAACACAAGGAGCAACCAACATGCCTGATTCAGTCGGTAGGCTCTGCCGCTCCGCTTGCCTGAGAAGGGTCAATGCTTGTCGCCATTCCTGGCTCTTCTCGCAAGCGCTGATGGCGGCATTGTATGTAATCCGATCCTGGGATGCTGTGTAGATAGATAGATACTGTGTAGATAGATAGATAGATAGATAGGTAGATAGACGGATTGGTAAATAGGTAGATAGATAGGTAGACAGATAGACATGTATGGTGCCGCGTCGCCGCGTCAGTGGTCCCCCGGCCCCCACCCCGCCGCCGCTCTCCCATCCTCTAAAACGAACGCGGAATCTGCGTGACCGTGGCCGATTTTGTGCATGAAATCCTTGAAACTGCTGTTGGGTTGGGATCTTTGTATCACGGAGAGATGGCCAACAGACACTGGAATGGGTCGCTGGGGTTCATTACAGACAAGTGTTGCTGCTTCCGGATCTTGATGTATTGCGACTGTGGAGTCTCAACAGTACCAACAGCCATAGTGTTCAGATTCTCGTGGCTGTTGAACATGTCGAGAGGGGGAAGAACAAACCTGCCTACATCCTCTAACAGCGAGGGCGCGAGGGATGAAAGGAAGAACCACGGGAGGTGGGATGAAGCCAGAACCACCGGCATCTTTCCCTTAGCCCAACCCTCAACCCACTCACCCATCCACTCACAGGGGGGACGGGGGCAGCACAGCATTGTGGGGCGTGAGACAGGCAAGGGCATCGTACCATACCATTGCGGGGGTGGGGGGGGTGGGGGTAGGGGGTGGCAACTGCATCATATATGTGTGTATGCTGATGCATGATGCAATCAACTTTATATCTTCCTCAGAGACGGCCCAGCGTCGGCGCGAATCATGCGGGCATCCAGAAGCACAAGCAAAGCAAGCGCCTGCTGCCACATCCCGCCTGCGTTGCAAGCACTTATTGCGGCGTTGTCCGAGATGATGTCCGCTCGGATCCGCACGAGTTGCAGTTCTTCCAAGAGATGCATGGTCGCTTCCCATCGACGGTCTTTCTCGCAGGCGCTGATGACGGCATTGTAGGCAGTCAAGTTGATTCGGATTTGTGTTGCGGTACACCCTGTAAGCAATGCACATGCACGCTGCCATTGGCCCTTGATCTCACCACTGATAACAGCAGCGGAGGCGACTATGTTGGCTTCTAAACCTGACGTTCCAAGCTGCAAGAACAAAGCCAAGACATGGCGCCAGCAAGAAAGGCTCTTAGCTTCCAGTAGAGCACCGTAAGAGACCACCGTTCCTGGGAGACGGCTGGCCCGCATCCTGCTGAAGAGCACACTGGACATTTGCCAGTGACCACCTTCGGAGCATGCGCTCATGCAAGTGTTGTACGTGATGGACGATGCCTCAAGGCTTTGGGTGTAGATGCTGCTGACGAGATGGTTTGCCATTTGCCATCCTCCTGGATGCTTGCAAGTGCTCATGGCGGAATTGAGCGGAATGGTGCCTGCTTCGATGCCCGAAGCATGAAACCACTCCAATAGCTGAATCGCGCCCTTCCACCGATCCTCAAGAATGCATGAAGATAGTGCTGCTCCGGTTGACTGTGCACTCATTTGCAAACTCTGTGCACAAACTTCTGCGAGAAGCGATAGCCCTCTCGGCCAAGACACTTCAGAGCAAACGGTGATGGCTGAATTGTATGTGATGACAGATCTCTGAAGAGCAGATCTGCCCAGCTGTCTGAGTATTGTCAGGGCCGGTGTCCATGTGTTCGTTTTCCGGCATGTGCTGACTGCTGCTCCGTACGTCGCTATGTGCTGTTCGATAGAGCTAGACCTGGTAACATGCAGCAATACCAGCCCGTTCCGCCAGTCATGGGTACTGGTAACGCTGACCGGCCCATGCTGACCTGCAGCTTCCTGCATGGAGCTTCATGTCAGCATATCCCAAAAGTGACAGCCACTGCGTGATCCAGTTCCATGGCCATCTCGGCCCTTCCCGGGACATTGGGACAAGCCGCATGCCACTCAGGCTACGAGGCCACACCGTTGTGCTGGCTTGATCTGCAAAGCTGCCTAGAGACCTCAAGGTGGTGTCTTAAGGCCTTTCGAACACTGCATTCCATTGCACTATTGAGTCTGGCCTGACTCTCTGAAAAGCTCTTCTGGCAAGGCAAGAGTAGTCGAAGGAATTTCGATTCCTTCTGCTGGTCTCGGCAAGAAACCCGTTCCACCGCTTCGCCTAAATACAGCCGAGGGAATTCTCAATCAAATCCTTGTTCAATCTCCGATCTAAACTCTGGACATCTTTGGTCTGACCGTCTATCTTCGTTGATGACCGTGTCTCCTCACCTTACACACTGCACAGTTCCGCGTGGTCACGGTGTATGCGCACAAAAGCACGATACTGGAAGAACGTGCTGCTGTACTGGGAGAGGCAAGAAAAGTGTTGTCCAAAGACTGAAGATATCTCGCAGACTGAAACAAAGCTTTGTCTCCAGGATCTCCGACTACTCCCCGGCCCCATGTCCGAATTTTTTGAGACACCGACTTAAAGCCTCACGCAATTTCCCTGCACTGACTGCTTGTCTTTTTGGTGCTGCAGCCATCTGCAGATTCGCCAGCAGCCGAGCTGCCTCGTCAGTGTGGGGGCAAGGAGAATTGGGGCTTTCGATGCTGGGAAAGGATGAGGCTAGCTCCTGAATGCTTCGTGATCCAGGGCTTCATACTTCCACGGGCCCGAAGTCAGAAACCATCGCCGAAACCAAGCGGACCGCAAAAAAACTCAAATCGAAAGATGCCGTGATATAATATCATCTAGTATACTGTAGTATATACTATAATAATCTATAAAATAATGTAGTATATACTATAATAATCCATTATAGTATAAGCATACTACAACCTAAACCACTTTCCTGGCCTCCTGGCCCAGGTTCCCTGCCTGGCTGGTGGGAGGGTACGGGGCAGGTCGGAACCCTTAGCCTTAATTAGGGTTTAGGGTTTGGGGTTTAGGGTTTAGGGTTTGGGGTTTAGGGTTCAGGGTTTGGGGCCTGGGGCTTAGGACTGACTTCGAACTTGCCCTCATGCGGGCTGCATCCCTTGCACAGTGCACAAGGGCTCGAGGGTGCGGAGAGGCCAGGACCTGGTTGTCACTTCTGCCTAGCTAGAACTTAGGATTGAGCCTCAGGCCTGCGCTCAAAGTGCTTTCACGATTGTTCTTGGGAGCATGTCTTTCGACTTAAGGTGCCTACTGAATTCTGCCAGAGGGCTAAACATGCGAAGCTAGTCAACTTCCGCCGTCCTAGCCGGCTGGTTCTGCTGTCATATTTTTCTCTCTGACTCAAAGCCGCACTTCGACAGGAAGCCAGGGAGACTTGCTTCGGAATAATCTGGGGTCATGCCATGTTCGTCGTGTCCTCATAGCTTGTTAGACAGCCCGCCGGACGGCAAACCCAGAACAGGAAGCGGAAAGCAATTCTCGTTTGCCGCAGATGCAGCTGAACCAGAAAGAGCTTCTATGCCTATCTATATAACATACATGTACACATCATCTGTATATCTATCTCTCTCTCTCTCTCTCTCTTTCTTTCTTTCGTTCTTTCTTTCTTTCTTTCTTTCTTTCTTTCTATGTATCTATCTATGTCTATCTTTCTATCTTGATTCTATCTGTCTATCCAGCTGCCTATTTGTCTGTGTATCTGTATCCACCTATCTACTTGTATCTAACTTGAACCTAACTGTCTATCTACTTGCCTAGCTATCAGTGCATCTATCTATCTATCTATCTATCGATCTAGCTATCTCTACACATATCTAAACATATACACCTTTAGCTATACACGCAATAATTGTAAGTATGCATATATATATTATATATTATATATATACACACATGTATGTAAGGATGTGTATATCACAATGCATGTAATGTGATTAATGTGATGTAATGCAATGTAACGTGATGTAATGTGATGTCATGTACTGCAATGTAACGTCTGGTTCCCTGTTGGGGCGATATTAAACATGACAGTTTTTAACCCTTATTTGGTATTATTATAACAAAAATGTAGAGATTGCAGCCAACAAGGACCCAGATGTTGTGTCGTATATGTATATATATATATATATACATCTTTATATATATATATATACATACACACACACACACCGAAATCTATACCTTTGTGCCTGAATCTTTCCCAGCCCGGTGTCGGCCTCGCAGGCCGCCACGCTCGCGCCGAGGGCCACTGCATTGGCCTCGAGCTGCCGCTCCTGCACGGCCCTTCTTAGGAGCCTGAATGATGGGGGTGCACAGGGTTTTCGAAAGGATTTTATAAGGTTGCTTTCGGGTTGTTTTAGGGGGTTGTCTTTGCGATGAACCGAGGCTTCCGAACTTTTGCTTGATTGGAAGCGAGACACTCAGGAAAACGACAAGAACTGTCCCTTGTGGGAAGGTTTCGATGCCGTGCGCACACAAAGACGGCATCGCTGGTTTCGCATGACTGTCGCAATACTGCAGCGGCCCAGGAGACGCACGCTGTCATGTCACGTCGCTTCGGTGAATCTCAACTTCATCTCCTCTCACCTCAATTCATTGCATTCCTTTCCATTTCATGTACTTTCTTTGGCTTCCTACACGCATTCATTCCCTCTTTCATTCTACAGATTTTATGGTTTTGGCTCATCCATCCATCCATCCATCCAGCGACTTACCCCTAAACCCTAAACCCCCGCTCCCAACTCCCTGGTTCTCAGTAGGGAATCGGGGAATGGATTTCTATGATAGCCCCTTAAGGTCCCCAAATATAGTCCCAATAACTCATTCCCCCATTCCCTGCTAAGAACCAGTCAGCCAAGATACCCCCGCCCTAAACCCTAAACCTCTAAACCCTAAACCCCTAAACCCTAAACCGCCCGGCGTTGTCCTCCAGGCGCTGGAAGAGCAGCAAGGCCCGTTGCCAGCTCCGGGCTCGGTAACAGGCGCTGATGGCCGAGGAGTACCCCACCACCTAAGAGTTCAGCTGCTTTTATGGGGTTTGATAGGGTTCTTTAGGGATTTAAGGTTTTCAGGGGTTTTCGGGTTTAGTGCCGTTTGGGGGTTTAGGGTTCAAGCGTTCAAGGGCTCAGGAAATACGGCATGGGTAGCACTAGGTAGCAGGTAGCAGGTATTCTCCTATATCGACGATTTAATTGGACGGCTAGGAACATCGCAACTGCCGCCCTGCTCTCTCTCCCATAGCAGCTGCCAGGCCATCTGCCATTGACAGCCAGCTTCGAAGGCCGTGATGACGGCGTTGTGCGAGATCGTATCCGGGTGAAGGCCTGATAGCTGCATCTTCTGGAACAGGCTCAGTGAATATTCCCATTCGCCAGCTGCCCCGCATGCGCTGACTGCAGCATTGAAGGTAACAGCATTCGGGCGAATGCCAAACCCACCCATCTCTGCTAGCAGAAAGCAGGCCTGCTGCCACTTCTCACACTTCTCGCATGCACTAATGACGGCATTGCAGGCCACCACATCAAGATCTATGTGCCCCTGCATCTCAGAGAAGATGTGGAGAGCATACTCCCACTGACCACAGTTTCCGCATGTGCTGATGGCCGCCCCGAAGGCCACAGCATCTGCCGATAACACCTGCAGAGGGAGCACACGGCGATCAGCGGGGTGCTGGTCTGCCTTTTGGCATCCGAAAGATTAGATGTCCACAGCCACAAGTCCCAGGAAGCCAACCGCGACCCTGCAAACTACTAGTAGGAAAGTTTGAGACAAGGCGACTCGCTCGAGCCATAAAGCTCCAACCCACAAACCCTGCCTCACTCCTCTGGCTATCTTCCCTGAGCATCTGAAGCACGAGCAGCGCCTGCTGCCACCTGCCGGCCTCAAGAGATAGAGGATCGGCAATTTTCATGAACTTCTCGGTGCTAGTTGGCTCCGGGTTCAGACGACGAAACACATCATGGAATAAAAAAAAGTGAACCTTCGGCTCTCCCAAACCCCAAGGCCCATGCACGGCCTTTTCTGTGGCACAAGCACTGATGGCGGCACCGTACGAAGCAGCCGTGGCTAGGTCTTTGCCTCTCAGTGCCTGGCAGCTGCAATGCAGCAACTGGTTCCCTGTTGGGGCTATAGGCTATATTAAACATGATCATTTTTCATCCTTATATTGGGTTGTATTATAACAAAAATTGTAGACAACAAGGACCCAGGCAAAGCACTTCACTCCACACAGATTACTGTAGTGGGGACCTACCCAATTACGCTCTCTTTCCCCGCATACCCCAAACCCAATCCGTCCCTGCTCCCACCTCCAGGATTGACAGGGCGGCCTCCCAGCGCCCAGCAGAGGCGCAGGCGCTGGCCACGGCGTTGTAGGTGATGACCTCCGCCAGAGGAGTCTGTGAGGGGCTCGGATTTGGGATGATTTAGTACATTTAAGGTTTCGGTAGCTGAGGCTTCCGAGGATTCCTGCAATGTGATGAACGTACCTGAACCGCTGTGGCTCGTGCCTCTTTCGCGGAAATCCGGAAGCAAAGGTCAATCCCGAGCCGAGCTTGGTCAGAAAGGGTTCTAGCCAGTTTGTACTTTCAAGCCGCCTCGGGGCGCAGATGTACTTGCGGAAGCAGGTCAAGCAGCACCATGGCTTCCAGCCAACAGCCTCCTCTTGCACAAGCACTGATGGCCGTGTTGTACATGACCTCGGTGTCATGTGAGGCATATTCGACTTGAACTGTATTTACTTCGCACTGAGAGTAGCCGAGCAGCCAGATCCGGCTGCATGTCTTCATCTCGGACAGCATGCAGCAGCATCAGGGCACTTTGCCAGCGCTCGCCCTGGCCAAAAGCCGTCATAGTAGCACTGTAGGTAATCACGTCCGCTTGAAGACCAGCTTGGAACAAGCCATCCAGAAGGCACGCCGCCGCCTGCCACTCGCAGGCCTTTTCACAAGCACTGATGGCCGAGTTGTAGATGACAGTGTTGCTCTCGATGCTGTGGTCTTGAAGAAGAGACAGCAATGCAATTGCATGCGGCCATTGGCGACCCCGTTGGCATGCGTTGATCGCAGCTCCAAAGAGGATCACATCGGCTTCGAGGCCTTTGGCCAGGAGCTCAGCGAGAAGGCACAGTGAGTGTTGCCATTCGCCTCCTCGCTCGCAGGCACTGATGCACGCGCTGTAGGTGATGACGCTGGGTTCAAGGTGCTCCGCGGCCTCCCTCAGCAAGTCCAGGCCCCTCTGCCACTGACTGGCCCGAGCGCACACGCTGATGCAGGAGTTGACGGAGACCAGGTCGGCAGTCAGCCCTTGCAGTTCCAACTCCTTACAGAACACACGGCACCCCCGTGCCAAAACAACAGCACTTCCTTGGAAAATTGACTTGCAGCCTGCGTGCTGTGGTGGAGCCAAGTTTCCCCAAGCAGTGCAAGGGCCTCCTGCCAGCGCCCCTGCCTACGGCAGGCACTGATGGCTTCGTTGAATTGTCGCACGGTCGCAGGTGCATTCGACGCATGCAAATGCATGCCAGGAGCCCGGAGGGTCGCCCCAGCACCCTCCATGGCCCCCAATTCAACGGTCTTGAACAAAGCAAGGTGCAGCCACGAGAAAGGAAGTCCGTAAGGCATCAGCAGCATGCGAAAGCAAACATCCACAGATTCAGTACAAGCTCGCCACAAGTTAACTATAGAGAGCACCCCGGCACGTTGGGGGTATCAACAGCCCCCTCGTACTCACAAGGCACCTGGAACTGGGAAGGCAAGTGCAACCAACCTGCGTGTGTGCAGGCAGGCCTCCTCACTGTGCAGGAACAGTCGATTGTTCTGAATGCCTCAGTCGTCTAAACAATCTTGTCTTGCTATTTCAGAACATGGCTGTGCTTTCGACTGGGCGTTTGGTGCATCTTCACTCAAACAAGGCACATTCTCTGATAACCTCGAAGATATGTACTGTTGAATCTTCACTTGTGCTTCGATGGCCAACTGCGTGCAGCTCACCCACTGGGCGCAGTCTGAGGTGAAGCACTGAAGGGCTCTGTGTAGAAGTCCAGCACATCTCTGAGCTTCCTCGCTACCAAGCTGCATGCCGCCAAGGAGGTGAACGTATCTTTGCGTGTCGTGCAAATAGCCAGATAATAATTAAAGAACTTGGCAGGCACGGATCTGGATGCGGCATACAGCGCTTGACACTTTTCTTCGAGTCCTGATGCTGCGCCAGAGGATCCTGGGTTGATTCCCGCGTGGCAAAGGCTATCCACTCTATTCTGACAGCCACGATGATGATGACGAGGATGGTGGTGATGGCGGTGGTGATGATGGCGATGATGATGGTGGTGATGATGATGCTGATGATGACGGTGAGATAGTAGTGATGATGACGACCATGGCGATGTGATGATGATGATGATGATGACGATGACGACGACGACGACGGCGACCAGAACGTTGACGTTGCCATGGGCGTTGTAGATGATGATGGTGATGATGATGGGTGATGATGATGATGATGACGAAGAAGAAGATCATGATGAGGACCATGGTTGAGACGATGATGATGCTGATGCTGCCGATGAGGGTTGGTGGCGATTGTGATGATGATGGTGGTTATGGCAGTAGCGATGATGATGTCGATGTTGACGATAGCGGTGATGAAGATGATGGTCATTTCCAGGATATTATCGATACGCTGGCGAGGAGCAGAGGGAGGAGGCGGAGGAGGTTTCGTTGGTTCCAGTTGCCAATTGCGATCAGTTACCTACTAATTAGGACTTTACTTGAGCCTGCATTATCGCTCCTCCCGCTTCAAACTTTTTTTTTGCAATTTCTCCCCCTCGCACTACAGCATTTGCTGAGCTGCACCTCATCTACCCACTATAGCACGACACTTGCGACGATGCCGACGACCACCAGGTTCCCATCGTTTCTCTTCCGATGCTTGAATCCCGAGTCGAATGAATCCTAGCATGCTCGAAAGCTTTAACCTCAACCTCAGACCTTTCATCCCGAGCTCCGAACCACGAATCCTGAAACCGCACACCCTGCACCCGGACATCCCTAAACGGCTCCCTAAACTCCTCAGGAAGAGTCGGAATACGCCATAAGCTTCGAGCCAAGGCTGCCAGTGGAAGGAGGATCTGCGGTAGTAGCCTTCACGACCACAAGATTGACGTTTTCTACCATTTTCCCTTGGCTTCTGGCTTTGAGGAAGAATTTCTGGCTTGAAGGACGGGAAGGGGTAGCATGCTTTGCATGCCTGCAAGCTGCGTCAACCCATCCAGGGTGTGGAACAGGTACATCTTGCATGACCGATAACCACGTCTTCACAAGCACGGACAGTAAACTGTCGCGGTGATCGTTTGGTCGCCGCCGACTGCAATGCTGATTCATAAGGACCACACTTTCTGCACATAACCTAGCAATCACGAGATCAAGAATGACATCAGAAACGCAACCACACACACACACAGACAAGGACATACACCAGAACGAGCACGACAGAAACAGCAGCGCATCGGTCGAGCAGAGGAACGGCCCCAGGACGAGTATGTCACCGTTGCCCTCGCGCAGTGCTAATTCTTGCTGTTTTGAGGTGCAGGTGAGGTGCTGTTGTAGCAGACCACTTCCATATGCAATGGAGAAGGATATTATATTATATTAATATGCATCTGCATGGGAGTTAATTACAAGTCATGGAACGTGTCTCGATTGTCTGGCTGCCTGTGCCGCCTGCGCTGTGGGTCACGCTGTGGGTCAGGTAGTTCAGCCTCCCAGCAGCACGAATTCAAAAAGAAGTCACTAACATACTCTCGAGATGCTCCATGTTGTTAACATGTTGTTGATATAAGTCCATTGCTATTCTGAGAGGCATCGCAGGCACGGAAGAGCTGAGCTCCGCGGACACTTCGCATCTTGGAGAAAGAGAGCTGGGTCGACGACTTTGCTCGCGACGAGGGCACGGGCAACAGGCAAGGCCTCACACGCAAGGACACCAGCGTCACACCCTTTACCCTGGGAGGCGAGTCAGACCAAGCTATGCAAACACACCCGCCTCGAGCTTGCTGCATAACTCAATCTAAGGTTTCTGATTCAAGACATCGGGTTTAGGTACACTGAACGCAGTCTTTCCAGGAGGAATGATACTGTCTGGGAATGCTCCCCTTCTGAAATCCCCACCCCGAGGTTTGCTCCACTTAGCGTCTATCAGGACCACTGGAGGGAGGGTCATCTAGAACAAACCAATCCCTCGAGGCTCTCCTTAAGCCCAATATAAGGACCCTCTCATACGACTAGTAGAACAGGCTAGAGAGTTTTTTTCGAGAGGATGATGCTACTTTCAAATTGTTCCATAAAACACCCCTAGGGACTCGTTTTGGCATCTATTCAAGCCCCTATACTAAGCCCTTCTAATACCCATTGTAGCACCCAACTTATAGTAACCCTGATGGAACCCTTTCAAGGAACCCTATTCCAACTATCTATTACGGCCTCTATAGTAGTGAAGGCGAGGCCCCTGCTTCTCGTACTTCCTGTGCCAGTTTTGAAGCGTCCTCAGGACAGCGTTTTGCGATTTTGGCTGGGGGTTTCGGTATTCATGTGGAACAGGATCATCCCTTGTAGGCTCCTTATTGATGGTTCTGTTCAGAGGAAGGTGCAACTTGGTACCAAATAGCTATGCAAAGGCTCACACTCAAAGAGCGGCGAACCCTATCCGGGAATTCGCTGATCCTTTGGGCCTTTCGGCTCTCTTTTCAGTAACACTATACCACCTGGCCTGACGACACTAGTATTCATGCGCTTCAAGCAGGTTTGGGATGCAGCATGGTGCGCACCGATGTTTGCAGCGGCATGGCGCCCTTACAACATGACATCTCCCCCACATGATCCCTGACCGAAGCTGGGCAACGCGCAAAGTCACCGCCTTGGGATCCAACGCTAGCTCCTTCCAGGGGACGGTTTGGGATCGTGCAAGCTGTATGCTGCGAGCTCTTCGGCATGCAAGCTACAGGCACTTGCATGACACCGTGAACACGCACACACATACACACACACACACACGGACGCTCGCACGCTTTCAGAACATATAATACACACACACACTGACTGACACTGACTGACTGCATGAACACCCGGGTGGGTCTCCGTGGAGGGAGCCAGGGCTTCCAACCTTGCAGCTGCGGGCTTTGGAGGAGACTTCGGAATCGAGCATTTACTTGGAAGAACACATGACTGCTTGGAGACGTTGAAACTGGCTACAGGTGCACCGTCAAGGCTCTTGTGCAACATTCATGAACTCTCAGCAGGAAATCTGCTCCAAACTAGCCGCGCTTATGGCGAATGTCATTGACTGGTTGTGGGAAGGAAAGCACTCTCTGTATTGTCATTGTTGCTCCTGCTGATCCTCCTTCTGTTCCTACTGTTCCTACAACGACGACTACAACTACTACTGCTACTACCACGACGACTACGACTTCGACTACTATAATACGTATTCTAAGTCTAGCCCAGCTTATCGTCAGCATGGTCAGCAGCAGAAGTGACGGAGGCCCCAGCAACCTCGCTCCCTGTGCGAAAATGCTTCGCCCCAGTGAAGACCGCTCCCGTGCACCATGAACCTTCCGAAACCTAAAATCAAATCAACAGTGTTGAACTGCTATGGTGACGTATTCAGGAGCCATTTCGGCGCCAAACATCATCCTCAATTTCTCTGTGGATGATGCTGTCGCACGCACGGAGTAAATGCTCATCTGTTTTAGTGCTTCTGATCTTGCAAAGTGTTGTTTCGGAATGCTTCGTCATTATCAGCTATTGATGTTCTCATGATCACTTAAACCTGCCTGGGTCAGCAGCTGTGCTTCGCACGCTTGCTGAGGCGAGAGTCGCGCGTCCCCAACCAAACGCGGCCCCTGGGCATCTCCGCAGGTCTACGAGGCAAGTGTAACAAACATGATAACAGCTATCCAATGCTGCTGCTGATACCAGTAGTAGTAGTAGCAGTAGTAGTAGTAGTAGTAGTAGTAGCAGCAGCCGTAGTAGCAGTAGAAGTAGAAGTAGAAGTAGTAGTAGTAGTAGTAGTAGTAGTAGAAGAAGAAGTTGTAGTTGTAGTAATAGTAGTTCAGTCTCACTGCGCCAGCTCATGTAGAGGAGCTCAATCTCAAGGCCTGGAATACCGGGTGCGCGACGAATCTTCTCAGCATGTATGTCAACGTGACGCTTCCTGTGCCAAAACTCTCGGAAGAAGCTTTCGGAGGGATTCCATCATGTTCTGGCCGATCAGTTTTCCACTCTCCCGGCGATGCCAGCTGCAGTGGATGTGCATGCAACGGAAGG